GTCAGCGTGGTGGGTCGAAGGAAACGTTTTTTTAATCGTGAACAATTTTGTGTTCAACAACGTGAAACTGACAGTGGTGGGACTCAGGGTTACTGCTTTTACATTAACAATAAAGTAGCACTGGTTTTCCATAAACAACCCAACGCAACCCTCGCAACTACGTTTAGGTTTAAATGCGACCAAAACCATGACATACGGGAGGTTTGGTGGACGCGAGAAAAAAAAAAGGGGTGCGTATTTTTAAAAAAAAGGTCGCGAGTGGTCGCTAGTGGTCACAAACACTTTTTGTGACGTACATAAGCCCCAATCTAGATCTTATTTATTAGTAGTACTAGTATGGATAGTAGTGTTGTTGGTGGTGAAAGTGTGGCTTGTACTAGTATCAACAATACTACTACTAGTAGTATCAGTGTTACCATTTGTTTGTCAGACATAAAAGAGTATCCATCAATATTATGTTGGCGTTACTGGTGGTGCTATTGTAGTAATAGGTGGTATATTACTACTATGCTGTGGAGTCATACAACAATCAACAGCAGCTATCAAATTGAAGATTTCCTCCATTGGATTAGATTTATGATTTCCAGGTTCATTCTTCATTATTGTTTTAATAGACTACATTTCTGACAGAACAATTGTCATAGCAGTGAGAATGAAAGGAAAACTAGTAAGAAGGCCTTTCTAGTAGTAGTATTTGTAGCAGCAGCAGCAGCAGCAGTAGTAGTAGCCAAAAACTTGTGTGAAGAATATTGTTTCTGGTATCACATGGAAAATGTGGCAAAAATTTAGTTTCAAAGTGCACATGTACATCCCACCACCTCTAGTAGTGCAATACAATCATAGGCAGTGCTTTATGATAACAATGCAGCAATGATAATTTGGAAAATTTCAAAAGCAATTCAAATTCCTCCCAGACTCCTCTGAGAAAGGCACTCATACTTGGATCCAGAGTACTACTATCATATAGAGCTGGCACCCAAATCCACAATCCAGTTGTTTATTTTGGGCCCTTACTTTTGCGTGTAATGACTGTTTTGATGAAATAAACTAAATTTGTACAAATTGCACATGCTCAGTACTAGTGTTGATTTTTTAATACCACAAGTTAAGATTTGCAGCGTGTAGTAAATTCCCCAGCTGCTGATTTTTGCTTCAGCATGTGCTACTGTGAGTCCAAGTTTTTAATCCCCCCACAAGTCATTACACGGAAAAAAGATAGCACAATCAAATCAATGCACAGTACAAAAACATGTAGAAAATTAAGTGAGGGTCAACTGACTCTACTAACAGCTTTATCTTGGTCCCCAATGGAAAACAAACTTAAACAGGTTTCTAGTAGTATGGGGAGTTGGGGGTTATCAATGTATATGTGTGTGTGTATACATCACTAAAAATGTATGACTGGATAGTACATTTTTTCTCCACCCACTCTAGTAATACAATACTGGAAAAGCATTCTTTTTTTCTAAATGCTGGTGGGAGTAGGTCAAGAAGTAGTAGGTTAATTTGGCAGAGATTGAGATGGGTATTAAAAAGATGCAGGTGATGCTTTTGATGAATAGAGGTCAACTTGTTGCTTTCTGGTCTTAAATCATGCATGTGTGTCTTAAATTGGATACACATACTAGATGTTGTTATTTTCTGAAGCAGCATGCTAGTACCAGGAAGAAAAAATGTGACAATAGGAGGATTGATGACTTGCTGATGACCTAAAGAGGGAGGAGGCTAAGAGAAATCTTAATTCAAGAAAAAATCTATGGTAGGAAATGTATGCTACCATATTCTGACTAGAAATCCTACTAGATTGCTCCAAGCCAGCGGTCATAATTTATAGGGTTGTTTGTCACATTGGAACTCAAATTCCGTATAATATTAGTACTAAGATTTTTTGAAAACTTACTTCCTACAAGATTGTTACCAGCTTGCTTTTACAAGTGCTACCATACTAGTATTGCTACATAAAATTTTACCACAATACTATGCTGCACTATCAGAATGTTTTTCAAAATTCTCTCAGCCCCCTCCTACTAGTAAGTACTATCATACCATCTTATGAAGTAGTAGTACCTATCAGTTCCATTCCAGTAACGGGTCTAGTAGCTAGCCTATGTGGTAGAATTTTCAATAAAGAATGCCTCAGCACAGCTATTCAAATGGCCAGTTTTGGACACTTTATCATATGTAAAGAAGCATTAATCTAGAGTTAGGGATATTGCTGATATTTGGTAAGAATCAAGCAATGTGATTGGGTAATTTTGTGAATTATATGCTAGTACTAGAAACTTTTTTTACTTATTGGAATAAATACTTGACTCATTAGAACATGTTTTTGAGTAGTTAGTAGAATTGTTTGGATGACTAATAGTATATTTTGGTGATACCTGAACTCCTCTAAATTCATGACAAATCAGCCACAAAGTGTCCTCTTGAACAGCTGTGACATGTCAAGGCTATCCAAAGTCCATGCTCCTCCCCTAGAAAAACATGTGTTATTTTTGGTAAAAAATAACCCACATTTTAGACACATGGGCTGGGTTATCAAGTAGTACTCATAGTTTGTGCTGATACTACTACTACTACTACTACTACTACTACTACTACTACTACTACTACTACTACTACT